AAAAATTTTCCTATGCCTACAAGCAGCAACATTCTTTAGTGTGAATTTATTGACATAATGACAAATTATTGAAAGTGTGCTGTTAGCTCGAGTTTCTTGTGTAGCTCATCAATATGTTCCACAAGAGATTGCAGTCAATCAAAACACCAAGATATTTAATAACTTTTGCAGGATATAACCGTTTATTATTAATTTTAATTTTAATTTTAGAAATGTTGTTTAGATTGTATTTTTTTCTAGAAGATGAAAAAAAGACTAGTTCTGTTTTTTGTATTATTATTATTTACGTTAAGACTAATTAAGTTAGCATTTAACCAGTGAACAATACTTTTTAGACCCAAATTTATGTTTTTACATAGAGAATTATACGATTTGTTGATATACAATAGGCTTTTGTAATCAGCAAAAAGTTGAATTGACGAGAAGCGAATAGAGTTGTTTATGTCATTAACATAAATTACGAACAGAACCTTGAGGAACACAGCACTCAATAGATTTATTAGTAGAATTATTACCATTAATACTTACAAAATGTTTCTGTAAGATAAGAGAATACTATACTATACTATACTATACCACGAATACTATTGTTCTAATTTAGAAATCAAAATGTTATGATCAACGATATCTAAAACTTTTTGTAAATCTATAAAAATACGACAAAAAAATAACCAGTTGTCATTGTTTGACCAGGTGTTGGGAGCTTTTCTGATTTTTTCAGTTATACTTAACAATGCATGGCAGATAGAATGTCTTAAACGAAAACCAAATTGAAATTCATTTAAACAGTTAAAAGAGTTAAGAAAAGAGTACACTCTAGAATACATAAGTTTTTCAAGAAGTTTACTAATGTTAGATAAAAGAGAAATAGGTTTGTAATTAGTACATAAAAGTTTAGAGCCATTTTTGAATATTGGAATAATAAAAGATAGTTTTAAAACATTCTGAAAAGTTCCATTTATGAATGATATATTAAACAGTTTAGAAAGAATATTTGAAAATTCATATTTAAAATCTATAAGAATATTTGTCGGAATGCTATTTGCATTATTTTGCTATACTATGTAATTTGGATATTGGATATTTAAGACATTTTGTATAGTTTATGTAAGATAAATGAATATTTGGATATGAATATTGGATTTAAGTTTTTGTGCAAGGTTTGTAAAAAAAGTGTTTAACTTTTCAGAGATAAGATTTGGTTCAATTATATATGTTTCATTATCTTGTAAACAGTTGGGAGATGAGTGATTAGAGTTTTTGACATTTATTAAATTATTAATTTTTTTTCCAAATTTCTCAAAGATTTTTTACATTTTCTGTAAAATAGTTTTTAAAATACATTTTTTTAATGAGCTTAATTAAGGTAATTATCTTGTATTTATATTGTTTGAAAGCAGTTTTAAATGTTTTTATGTTCCTAATATCTTTTGACCTCAACTTTTTTTTTTTAAAAGATTGCATATTTGAATCAATTTTAAGATTCCCTTTGTAATCCAAGGTTTAAATCGACGCTTGAAGTTCTTAATGCTAATTTTTTTAAGTGGGGCGTAGCAATTCAAAATCAAGGTTGTTTCAGAAATAAATGTTTGGAAACAAGAGTTAACATCACTGTTCTCTATAAGATTATCCCAATTAATTTTTAAAAAATTTTAAAATTTCTACAATATAAATTGTGATTATATGGTATAAATAACTTATTAAAGTTAGGACAAATATATATATATATATATATATATATATATATATATATATATATATATATATATATATATATATATATATATATATATATATATATATATATATATATATATATACAGTCATGGCCATAAATATGAGAATGATGAAAAAATTTCTGTTTCATGATTCTTCATCATGTAAAGACAATTAGATAATAATTGCAGTTGTTTTCAAACCTTATAATATACTTTCAAACCTTATAATGCAGGGTCATGTTTTCCGATGAATCAACATTTTCCCAGTTTGCCTCTTACACTAGGCATGTTAGAAGACCAGTCAATAAGCGCTACAATATCAGATATGTAGTGCCTACTGTAAAACAGGCTCCAACTACAGTGGTTTGGGGCTGCTTTAGCGGAGCAGGCCCGGGCGGTATCTGGTTTATGCCGAAGAACACCACTATAAATGGAGCAGTGTATCTCAGTATCCTTAAAGAAAAGCTACTTCAGCATATGGCTAGTAGCAATTGCACCACTTTCCAGCATGATGGAGCTCCCTGCAATCGCACTGGAGCAGTTAGCCAGTGGTTATGTGTCAACACATCGATGTCTTAGGACCTTGGCCTGGCTCCAGCCCGGACCTTAATCCAATAGAAAATTTATGGATAATGATGAAGCGGAAAGTTGCTATGAAGAATCCTAGTTCAAAAAACACCCTTAAGAAAGTGATCATGACTGTTTGGACTCAAGAAATAACGCTGGAATATTGCCAAAAATTACTCAATTCAATGCCTGAGAGGATAAGGCCTGTGATAGGCAACAAAGGGCAGCCCACCAAATATTGACTTTTGAGACAATCCCGTCTTTAAGATGCTTTTTTACTAATAATTTAATCATATTTTATAATTAAAGCACAAACTAATTGTCATTAGTGTTAACTGTTTGTTATATTCAGGTTCTAAAAGCCATACTATAAAAAATGCAGCGTTCTCATATTTATGGCTATGACTAATATATATATATATATATATATATATATATATATATATATATATATATATATATATATATATGTATATATATATATATATATATATATATAATCAGAAACTGATGTTGTCAAGTTTCCTGAAATAATTTTATTTTACATTAGTTATTATATTAGAAAAAATATTGTCAGAGTGGTTAGTAATTCTGGTTGGCAAAGTGATAAAAGGGCGAATTTTATAAAAAGAAAGCAAGTTTAAAAAATTAGACGTTGCAGTGTCATTATTTGATTGTATCAGATCAATATTATAATCACCTAGTAAACCTTCTAATGCTTTCAAGTAAACAAAAATAACTCTTGTAAACAAAATCAACTGTAGTAAAATTTTTAAAATGCAAACATGAAAGAAAGTTCTGAATTCAATAAGAAAAGGTGGAAGACCTAGGCCAAAATGTTGAAGACCGAGGCCAACAGTTTTAAGGCAAAGACCAAGTTTTAATTTGCCTTAATATGACTAACAAATCTTAATTTTTTTTTCCTTAGGATTTGTTTTGTTGGTTCTATGCAACTTTTGCATATTAAGAACCAGCAGAAATTAGGCCTTAACATGCAACTTTTGTTGATGTTACTAAGATTTGATGTTCATCCAGAATAAGGTATGTTTTATGATGTCACCTTTCAGCTCCTAAGTTTTCTTTTTTTTATTTTTGCTAATTCAGAAACATCAAGAAGTTTAACAAAGTTGCTTTTTTAATATGATGTGTCCAATAATTTTTAATATGATGTGTCCAATAATTTTTAATATGATGTGTCCAATAATTTTTAATATGATGTGTCCAATAATTTTTGATATGATGTGTCCAATAATTTTTAATATGATGTGTCCAATAATTTTTAATATGATGTGTCCAATAATTTTTAATATGATGTGTCCAATAATTTTTAATATGATGTGTCCAATAATTTTTAATATGATGTGTCCAATAATTTTTAATATGATGTGTCCAATAATTTTTAATATGATGTGTCCAATAATTTTTAATATAATGTGTCCAATAATTTTTAATATGATGTGTCCAATAATTTTTAATATGATGTGTCCAATTTTCTGTTTGATGAATTCTGATTCTCTTAAATTTTCTCTCAAACTCAAATCGAAATATAGCAAGTTAATATTTGACAATTTTTAGCAATCAAAGTGTTTTGTAAATTTAAAAATATTTTTTTAGTTAAGCATGACATAATGTTATGAATGACAAATATTCAGAAATTTTGTAATATAGCGTAAAATATGTTAAAGATTATTAGTATGTATATATATTGTATAATTAATATAGATAAAATGATTTATCAGTTTTATTCATTGAGGAAACGATGTCTTTAAATAAATTATAAACAATATTTTTTGAAAAGCATTTTCCATTTATAGGTTGCTCAATTTTTTGTTTGCATATGCAATTTTTAGTTGTTGTTTTTTTCTTTTTTTTTTCTTTTCTTTCTTTCTTTTAAGAGCGTCTTCATTATTATATTATTTCATTATTCATTATTAGAAGAATTTGATTTCATCTATTTTTTATTGAAATTATTTGTTTTAGAATTTAAGGGGGTTTGATTATTGATGGATTCATTAGGGTTTTTTTTAAAGGTTTTTAAGAGTTTTTTAAGAGGTTATAGTTACATCCAAAAAAAATCATCATTTTTAAATTTATGTTTATTTTAATGTGGAAGCCAATGTTTTTAAAAAGTTTTATATCTTTTTTAATTTTGTCAAGTTAGACTGGCAAAAAATATTTTATGTATTATTAATAAACTATCATTGTGATGCATAATTAACTTGATTTATTTTAGCTATTTAAATATGAAAAGACAAGTTTAGTTAGTAAAATACAATAATACAAATAAATTATGTTTGTATTATCAAAATTATTTAAATTTTTTTTTTTTTTTTTTTGGGGGGGGGGTGTATTCAAGAGCAAGGGGGTGAAATTAAGAGAATTAATGATTAAGAGAATGATAAGGTAATAAAAATTTATATATCAGGTAATAATGACTAGTAAAATTTATTTTGATAATAAATAAAACATATCAAAAGTTTAAAATACCTAAAAATTTGTATAAAGATATCATTGCACAAACTTTTATGTATTTTGTGCAATGTGTACTAACACTGCACATTGTACAGTTTTGTCTTCTTTTTTTCCAGATTGCAATTTAATTTCTGTTTTTTTAACAACAACAAAAAAGTTCTTTTATATAATCATAATGATGGAACTTGTTTTAATAAATAATACTATCATTAATATATTAATATTTATATGTTTTTTATTTAGCTATACCGTAGACTTCCTTCACGAGCAGTCGGTCATTCTTGGGAACTTGTTTACAGTACATCAGTTCACGGAATTAGTTTGCTAACTTTATACAGAAATTTTCAGTCATATGAATCTCCAGCTCTCATTATAATAAAAGATGAAAAAGATGTGGTAATTTTTTTTTTGCTTTATTGTATATTTTTATTTTTGTTTGTTTTTTATTTGTTTGTAAAATACTAAAAAACTAAATATGAAATGATAAAACTAAGCATAAAAATATATTTTTAATCAATGTATGTTTAGTATTTATTTTTAATAAAAGTTATTAATAAAAGAAAACTAAGCATAAAAATATATTTTTAATCAATGTATGTTTAGTATTTATTTTTAATAAAAGTTATTAATAAAAGAAAACTAAGCATAAAAATATTTTTAATCAATGTATGTTTAGTATTTATTTTTAATAAAAGTTATTAATAAAAGAAAACTAAGCATAAAAATATATTTTTAATCAATGTATGTTTAGTATTTATTTTTAATAAAAGTTATTAATAAAAGAAAACTAAGCATAAAAATATATTTTTAATCAATGTATGTTTAGTATTTATTTTTAATAAAAGTTATTAATAAAAGAAAACTAAGCATAAAAATATATTTTTAATCAATGTATGTTTAGTATTTATTTTTAATAAAAGTTATTAATAAAAGAAAACTAAGCATAAAAATATATTTTTAATCAATGTATGTTTAGTATTTATTTTTAATAAAAGTTATTAATAAAAGAAAACTAAGCATAAAAATATTTTTAATCAATGTATGTTTAGTATTTATTTTTAATAAAAGTTATTAATAAAAGAAAACTAAGCATAAAAATATATTTTTAATCAATGTATGTTTAGTATTTATTTTTAATAAAAGTTATTAATAAAAGAAAACTAAGCATAAAAATATATTTTTAATCAATGTATGTTTAGTATTTATTTTTAATAAAAGTTATTAATAAAAGAAAACTAAGCATAAAAATATATTTTTAATCAATGTATGTTTAGTATTTATTTTTAATAAAAGTTATTAATAAAAGAAAACTAAGCATAAAAATATATTTTTAATCAATGTATGTTTAGTATTTATTTTTAATAAAAGTTATTAATAAAAGAAAACTAAGCATAAAAATATTTTTAATCAATGTATGTTTAGTATTTATTTTTAATAAAAGTTATTAATAAAAGAAAACTAAGCATAAAAATATATTTTTAATCAATGTATGTTTAGTATTTATTTTTAATAAAAGTTATTAATAAAAGAAAACTAAGCATAAAAATATATTTTTAATCAATGTATGTTTAGTATTTATTTTTAATAAAAGTTATTAATAAAAGAAAACTAAGCATAAAAATATATTTTTAATCAATGTATGTTTAGTATTTATTTTTAATAAAAGTTATTAATAAAAGAAAACTAAGCATAAAAATATATTTTTAATCAATGTATGTTTAGTATTTATTTTTAATAAAAGTTATTAATAAAAGAATTTTATTAATAAAAGTTAATTTGGAAAGTTTATTACTCAGAGTTAAATTGATAAGCGAGACCATAAATAAAAAAACCAATGATAGTGGTTTGGCATTATGACCTAATTTGAGAAAATAAAATATCTGATTTAAAAAATAAAACAACTGTCAAATGTTTCAAAATGCTGATACAGCAAAAGATGTTTTAAAAAGTTGTTTACAATAACAAATCTTATAAGAAATGTTTTAAAAAGTAGATTATAAAAAACTTTTAAATGATTGCTGGCAACTATCACTTTTACAAAAGATGTTTTTTAAAGATACTGTCGATAACTGATGTAATTATTAGAATCATAAAAGTTAAAAGTGTTTTAATCACAAATAAAAAAAGAGAATAAATATCTGTCAAAAATGTTTGTTGATGTTATTTAAATTAAAAATTTGTTTTTTGCGCATGTGTTGTTTTTTGAATTTTTGTTATTTTAAAAATAATCAATTACATGCAGGTATTTGGTTCATTTTTGTCAGAACCTCCAAAAATTAGTGATGGATTTTACGGCAATGGAGAATCAATGTTGTTTTCTTTTAAAGATAGAAAACTAAAGGTTTTTTTTGTTATTGACTTTATTTATTATAATATTTATTTTATTATTAGTTTTTGTATCAAAAAAATGACAAAAAATATTTGTTTTAGATTTACAAGTGGTCTGGAAAAAATAACTTTTTTATTAAAGGCTCAAAAAATAGTTTTGTTATTGGTGGTGGCGAGTATGTTTTTTTTTAATTTGCTTTTTTTTATTTGTTTATATTTTCTCATATGAAAGTTAGTTGTATAAAAATGGCGCGTAAATGTTAGTTGTATAAACCCCATGATGCATCATGTTTATTTATTATCTGCTATTACGAAAATTGTTATTCTAAAGTAGTAATAGTATGATACTATTTAATAGTATTAGTACTATTTAATAGTAACATTATTACTGCATACTGCATGTTACAGTGTAATACAGTATGCAGTAATAATGTTACATAAAAAGTTTCATTTCTTATTAAAACTATTCCTGTAAATTAGCTATAATTAACAAATAGTTTTGTTTTGTAAATTAGTTTTAAATTACAAATTTAAAATTTATTTCAAATATTTTTGTAAAACAAAGTCAATATAACAATACTGAGAGGTAAAATACATCAGATAATCCAAAGTCTATTGCAAATTAAATTATAAAAGAAATCTCAGTCAACTTAATAATAATTTTAAGACGATCAATTAAAGGCAATCGTTAGATTTACACTAAAAGTTATTCAATTTCTGAAGAAATTGAATAACTTTTAGTGTAAATCTGATGGTCAGTGCCACCTATTAAAGTCATTTTCATACCCATCTCATGAAGTCATGGTCATAACCACCTAATGAAGAACAATGATAAATTGAAGAGTATTGTTAATCAAAGACAGCTTCAATACCTAAAATAATAGTTAGAAAAGTTAGAAGCAGTTTTAAAAACTTTTTCCAGATACATCATATAAAAAGAGCAGACTAGAAAAAGGAAAGACGACCGTGTCAGGTTTTATCAAGTCTTTGAAATATCAAGAGGAATACGCCTTACCTCACACCCTTCTATCTAATGCACAACATACTAGATATCTTTTTATTGTCATGAAAGATTAGTATTGACTTCTACTTAAAATATTTTGCTTGATGTAAAATTTCTGATGTTTATTTCAGTCTCTACACCTTTTTTTAATCATATATTGTATTTATATATTATATTTATATATTATATCTGTATATTATATTTATATATTATATTTATATATTATATTTATTATATATGATATTTTGTGTCATGCCCTATGAGTTGGCGTAATAATAGTGTTAGATATCTTAACAACATTATTATGTATAATCCACCATATGTAAGTAATAATACTTTATTTAATATACATTTATAAACAGAGCTATATTTTTTTGACGCGCAAGTAAAACAATAAAACAAGTTTTTACTTGTTAAATCTTTACGGAAATTTTGTAAATTATTTAATATTTTTGCACTTTAATTTTATGCAACAATTTGAAATTTAAATATTGTAAATTATTTAGAAATAATATTTTGTTTAAATAGCTCTGTACTAACAACTGACTATATATTTTATATTTTATACTTTACAATATCTATAAATTAATCATACAATATTTGAAATTTTTGCCTGCGATTTTACAACAAGTTGTTTCGTATTGGTGGTTGTGTTTTTGTGTTTTATATATACAGGGCCGGCGCGAGTAGGTGTCACATGGGGGGGGGGTGCCATTACAACTTCTGACGACTAAAAAAAAATATCGTATTTTAATTAAAGTAATTATAGTTTTTGAATAGTTAAAACAAAAATAAGTATATTGCAAAAAAATCAAGAAATTAATTTTTTTATTTTTATTTTTTTGTGGTCACACAAAAGTTTTTGTCGATTATTTTTATTTGATTAGGAAATTATTTAGTCCAGTATTTTTTTTACTATTTAAAGGTTTAACTAAATAAAAATATTCTATTATAGAAAACTCTTTAAAGGTGTCAATTAAAATATAAATATTAAACATATTTTTAGTGGTATTTTTGGGTTATGGCTTGATGAAGATCTTGACAGAGGACGATCTCATTCCTGTCGAACGTTTGATAATTTAACTTTATCTGGTAATGAAGACTTTAAGTGTGCTGGACTAGAAGCTTGGGGAATGATATAATCAAACCGAAAGTGTTATGTGGTTGAATGTTTTTTATGACATTTCTTAATAAGGAATTATTTATTATTACGTTTCCGATTGGTGGGCAACTTAACATTGAAAAATAACTTTTGAGTATTTTTATGAACTTGAAACAGTTTTTAAACTATTTCATAATATTCTTAATATTTCTTAATATATAAATATATATGTGTGTATGTACATATATATATATATATATATATATATATATATATATATATATATATATATATATATATATATATATATATATATATATATATATATAAATTCTATAGATTTTATTTCTAATACTATATATATACATCGTGTAGAATATTTTTTATATCGTATACTTGTTATCTATAAAAATTGTTTTAAGAATAAAAAAATTTTTTTTTACAACTTCAATTCTTTATAAGATTAAAACTATTTTACATTTTTTAACAGTTAAACTGTTAAAGTTGTTTGAAATTTTTTAACAGTTAAACTGCTTCTATTAAAATTTTTTGACATTTTTTAACGATTAAACTGCTCTACTATGTTTATGAAGACCATTTTTTGAGCATTTTTATTTTCTTTTTTCATAATGTCAAAAATACTCAACTAAAAATTGTTAATAAATAAATTGTTAAAATTTAATTTGAATAAATTTTTTTTGTTTTTGGTTTTTAAATAAACTTTAAAAAGATTAATATAATTCATTGTTATAATTATCAATTATTGATCAGTAATTGTTTAACTAAATAAATATCGATATCGTAGTATAAATATCAATATCGTAGTATAAATATCGATATCGTAATATAGATATTCTTTTACCTGTTTTCAGTTGTGATCAATACGCTTCAGTGCTTCCACGCTGAAAAAAATAGAAAATTCCAAATGAAAAAAATCATTAAGTTTCCACTAAATTTTTAATATAATATAAGATTCTAAAAATCTTAAAAATATCTTACAAAAAATAAAACACAAGTTTTCCATTTTGTATGAGGTCGTGCGTTTTTTGCCTAAAGTCATTCAAAAAATCTTACTTTTTCTTTTCGGAAACAGCAAAAAATTTAAATGTCAAAATAAAATACGCATATTTAATATAAATTGTATTTGACTTTCTCCAAAATAAGCTACCAAACTCTTTTTTAAATTTTTTTATTAAAACAAATGAAATTCGCAATCATAACACCAGGAATACAGAAAATAGTAGCTATGCTCTTCTTTTTTCAACACAAATATGGTAAGTTTTCCATAAAACAACAATGTAATTCCCAATGGAACTAGTGTATTACTGCATTAATGAGTTTCAAAAAAAAATATCCCCTTGTTACAAATTATTTACTGCTCAACAGAATTCAATTTAAAGATATATTGTTGGAGTGTATTTCTTTATAATTTCTCTCTGTACTTAAGTTGCCTTTGATATATAATTTCTTCAACGATTAAGTGGTTTGATTTTTGCTTTATTTATTATTTTTCGGTATTATATTTATTTATTATTGTGTTATTATTGCTACATTTTATGTTATTATTATATTTAATTATTATCTGTGACATAAAATTTATATTGTATTATAATTATTCTTCATATTATTGATACTTTATAATTACTATTATTTTTTTTTATTATTACTATAATTATTATATATATCATATTATTTCTTTTTATGATATATATAATAATTATAGCAATAATAATAAAAAATAATAACCTTTTTTTTCTTTTATTTATATTTTTTATGTTTTTTAGGTGTCACACGGTCGTTCAGACTTACTAAATAAGTGGAAAGTTATTATACGCAAGCGCAGTAAAGTTTGCATATTTTAAAAGTTTTAAAAATGGCTACGGATAACGAATATAAAAAAAATTCTCATTGACAACGAGCTATTTTTCTAATTTTTAGCAATTAAATATGGATTAAGCCGTTTATTAAAAGGAAATTATAATAAAAGTAACTTCTAGTACACGATAAAATGTTTCAAATAAAATATAAAACCTCTAAAAACGAATAAAATGTAATTACAGCAATAGCTTTTTTAGTGTGTTTTGTTTATCGTTTTCAAATTGTTTTTAAAAAAATTTTGAGCGTAGAAATTTTTAAATTTTAACTTTTTCAGATAGATGAACTGTTGATCTTTCTTAGAATGTTTACTGATATTAGTATTCAATTTTTTTTCAAGATTAAAAGATATTTTTTCAACATTACCTTTTAGTAAGCTGTTGCTAGGCTACCCTATAATCACAATACATAATTACATTGATGTGAGTATATATATATATATATATATATATATATATATATATATATATATATATATATATATATATATATATATATATGTATATATATATATATATATATATATATATAGTATATATATATATATATATGATATATATATATATATATATATATATATATATATATATATATATATATATATATATATATATATCGTATAACAAGAAATGACTTTTAAAGATATATGTGTATATATATATATATATATATATATATATATATATATATATATATATATATATATGTATATATATATATATATGTATATATATATGTATATATATATATATATATATGTATATATATATATGTATATATATATATATATATATGTATATATATATGTATATATATATATATATGTATATATATATGTATATATATATATATATATATATATATATATATATATATATATATATATATATATATATATATATATATATATATATAAAAGATATGTTAGTGTATTTTAAAAATAGAGTGCTATAACAGAGACAAAATTAGATGTATTTTTGCTAATTTATTAGAATTAACAAAAACACATCTAATTTTATGAATGAAATATATGCATGAATGCAATATAGTTATTTGCAGTTATTGTGGTTAAAAAGTCAATGGAGAGATAAACAAATAAAAAACAAAACAAATTTCTACATTCTATAAATAAATAGTTTAAACACTCCTAGTCATAACTAAAGAATATATATATATATATATATATATATATATATATATATATATATATATATATATATATATATATATATATATATATATATATATATATATGTATACATATATATTTATAAATTTCAATACGTATGTATGTTAGACCCATGGAAGTCGGCCTAACATACAATTTATAATATATTTACTTTTTGTTTTTGTTAAAATCATTTCATATTTTAATACATTCGAATTTTAAAAGTTTTTTCCATTTCTAACTATTTATTGCTAAAATAATTAATAAAATACCTTATACTATTTTTTTAGTATTTAAATGAGCAAAGTTTGATCAAATCGAGGGGGCTGTTAATTTTATATGGTCATAACTTTTAGGCACAATAATACAAATAAATTAAATTGAAAAACTGAAGGTTTATTTAGTATTAGATAGAGAAACTAAGCATTTTATCAAGTCATTGTCATCATGTTTTGGCAGAGGCAGTTAGCTTGTAGGGCAATTTTTGTTAACAATTCATGAAATTTTTTGCAAAACATTTAGAATTGACCAAAGCATGACCATAATTAAATTTAGTTAAAAAAAAAAAATTTTAATGTATCTTGAAATTTCTAAGACAACTTCATGTTATTAGAGTAATAACATTCTAATAATGTTATTACTCAAGATTGTGAAAATTTATAATGATATGACCTTGAGCTAATTTCATTATAAACTATTAATAAAAGCAGGTTGATTTGATTAAAATAAATAGAGATTTTTTAAGTCAAGTCTTGAATCATTTATTTGATTTGATTTAAAATATTTAGGCTTAGCAGGGGCCTAATATATATATATATATATATATATATATATATATATATATATATATATATATATATATATATATATATATATATATATATATATATATATATATATATATATATATATATATATATATATATATATATACATACATATATATATATATATATATATATATACATACATATATATATATATATATATATATATATATATATATATATATATATATCCACGACATGATATTAAATTAGTTTTTTGAGGTAGGTAAGATTTTTTAGGCCTTAAATTAGAGCACACATTGTTTTTGTCACGATTTTTTTATAAAACAAATTCAAAATCAACTAAATCGAAAACTAAAATACTTTTATTTTTATTTTTTTAATTCAAGTAAAATCTATATGCATTATGAAAATCCAAAAAAAGATCTAAACATATTGATTAAGATACCAAAAAAAATAATAATAATTAAACATTTTATCTTAATTTAAAAAAACAATCGGACTAAAGTTAAGTATATATTTCAAATAATATATTAAAACAATAATTTACCAAAGAAAAACCATAAAAAAAGCATTTCAATATTTTGCATATCCACAATTTTTATATCAATAATTTGCAATTTCAATGTTTCTATCAGCATTAAGTCAATCTTCAAATAATTAATAGCATTTAAGTCCTGCATAATTCATGTAGGCCCAAAAGTCTACACTGCCATTACCTTGCTTGGTTGGTTTTCATGTACAATTCAAATCAAATTACTGTTGAGGTGATCGCCATAGCAGAACACGAAGCAATAACATATTTTTGCATATCTACCTCAACATTCATTTTGTCTGAGAATATAACATTTCACCACTTGCTGTCGTGTTTCATCAAGCAAATTAATTTTATTAATTAAAAACGTTTATCTCATTGTGTTGCCCACCAGATTATCCAGACCCATAATGTCATCTGTTTCAGTATAAGGTTTTCAAATATGTGAATACTCAATATTTAACTTATTGGCTATTTGACGAGGAGATAATACTTGGTTTTAAATAAAAATAGATTTGTAACATGTTTTTTCAGATAATCTCAACCATGATTTTGGAGTTTCATGCTGTATTACTTCACTTGTTATGAGGCTTTTCAATATCTAATTTCTTTGTGTTTTCATCAGTACTATTTCAAAATTAGAAATTTAGAGTTAATAAATGCTAATGAAAATCAAATTAAATTATTAAAAAATATATTACATTAATTTTAAAAATAAAGCAGTAAGCATTAATTTTTAACGAACAAAAAAAATTTTAAAAAATATAGTCGATGTTATAAAGTTGCATATAATTAGGGATACAAATGAAATTTTATGGTAACAACTTGTC